TCAAGCCGGGCACCTGGCCATGCGACTTGCCACGTGGGAGCCCTTGCCTGCCAGGCTGGCCCCCGGTGCCCACATACGCTGAGTGCAGCAGGGTCAGCGTGGGCTGCATGTTGCACGTGGAGGGGGCTGCCTGTGGCAGGGAGCAGGGGGCTCTGGCTGGGCCGGGCAGGGAGCAAGGAGCTATGCTCCAGCAGGCAGGAGGTTATGCACGAGCCACTCCACCAGAATGCTCAGGGCCTCCTCCCCTGCCCAGAGCTGCCCCTTTGCTTGGGTCCCCACCTGCGGGATCCACCGTCTCCCTCCTCCTTTCTCTGAGGGCTGGTTCTTTGTGCTTGTGCCCACTGCAGGCAGGTGCCCATGGGGGTGTTTGGTGCAGGAGGGGTGAGCGTCCTGCTCTTTGGGCTCACGGAGGCAGCCTTCTGAGCCCTGCTGCACGTGGAGCTGACGAACGCCCACAAAGGCCTGCGCTTGGGTGGCAGCAGCTAGCGCCAGCCCTGCCCTTGTAGCTCTGCAGCTGGGAGGGTTCTGTCCAGTGCACACGACTTTGCATTTATTGCCATTGGATCAACTGCAGGGTGCTGCCCAGTCACCCATAGGTGGGAGATCCCTGTGGAGCTCTGCACACTCAGCTTTGGACTTCCCTGGCTTGAATAATGTCTCTGCAAACTTTGCGCCTTCCTTTCTCCAGCCCAGCCGCGGGGCCCCTTCCTGTTGGCCTCTCTGTGGAGACCTGGCCCTTCGCTCCATCCTGTGGCTAGTCCCCGATCCGGGAGAGGATCTTACTTTGCTCAAGAGCCTGGGGGGCCTTGTCAAAGGCTTTCTGAAAGGCCAAGTCTACCCTAGCCACCGACTCGCTGGTCTACCTGCTTGTGCCACTTCCGAGAGTCCTCAGAGGTGGGGGAGGCACGAGTCCCGTCCATAAAGCTGCGCTGGCTCTTCCTCCACCAGTCGGGTCTCTCTCTCCGGGTCTGTCTACACTACCCCGCTAGTTCGAACAGGGAGGGTAATGTAGGCATACCGCACTTGCAAATGAAGCCCGGGATTTGAATTTCCCGGGCTTCATTTGCATAAGCCGGGCGCCGCCATTTTTAAATCCCGACTCGTTCGAACCCCGTGTAGCGCGGCTACACGGGGCTCGAACTAGGTAGTTTGAACTAGGCTTCCTATTCCGAACTACCGGTACACCTCGTTCCATGAGGTGCATGCCCTGGTGGGGGAGGGGCTGCAGGGGCCATGCCCAGTGCATACCCTGGTGGGGGAGGGGCTGTGCCTGGTGCGTACCCTGGTGCATACTAGGAAGCCTAGTCCGAACTACCTAGTTCGAGCCCCGTGTAGCCGCGCTGCACGGGGTTCGAACCAGCGGGGATTTAAAAATGGCGGCTCCCCGCTTATGCAAATGAAGCCCGGGAAATTCAAATCCCGGGCTTCATTTGCAAGTGCGGTATGCCTACATTACCCTCCTAGTTCGAACTAGCGGGGTAGTGTAGACAGACCCTCCCTGATCAGTCGGTTCTCTGCTGCGTTTCCTGTCCTGAGGGTCGGCTCGCTGCCCTGTAAGTGCATGGTCACCCCGGGAGTCCTCGGTACAACCGGCACCACGGCCGCTGCCTTTCAGTCCCCTGGGCCAAGGTGCGATTCGGGGACACATTCCCTGCCACAGTTCGTGGGCAAGAGCCCTGGGCCCAGGGCCTGGCTGCTGGTGGCTTGTGCTGCCCCAGCCATGGAGGGGCATAGATGTACCGTCTACAGCACCCTCCCTCTCGCCACATGTCAAAGGGCGCCTCTGGCCTCCGTCCCTCTGCTCTTTAGCCAGGGCGGTCTCTTCCTGTCACCTCTTCTGTGTAGGGCTGGACATTTAAAGTGAGCCTCCCCATGGTGCCTGAAATAGCATTTACCTCTTGTGACTGTCCCTTCTAATTTCTGTCTGACAAGGGACCTCAGCTTTGTGTGGTTCCCCATTTAATGAGAAATGTTTCCTGGAAGCTGGGCACTCGTGCGGCGGCTCAGAAGATATTCAAATGCCACCCAGC